AACTCCTCAAAAGACTGTCTCACCTCCTCGTCTTCCAGCAGAGCCGAATTCAACCTCCAGATGCCCTTCCCTCTCAGCGGCGTGTCTGAAACATTCAAAGTCACAGTAAGCATAAGGTGGTCAGAAAACTCCACCGCCTGACACTCAGGTGCCGAGAAGGCAGAGTCCTCCTTCAAAAAAAACCTGTCTATCCTGCTCTGACTATTACCTCTCCTAAACGTGAAACCAGTGCTGCCTGGGCTGCTCTTAACCAAGGCGTCCACCAGGCCTGCTTCCCTGACTATAGCATTTAGAAAAACGCTATCATATCCCAGCCTGTCATTGAAGCCCCTCCTGTCCTTGGGCCTAGTTATGGTTTTAAAATCACCTCCAAAGACCACCAGCCGAGACGTAAAAAGGAAAGGCTTGATCTTTGTGAAGAGGCATTTCCTGTCCCACTTGGACTGTGGTCCATAAATGTTAATTAGGCGCAGTTCCTGCCCCCTCACAAGGACATCTAGGATCAGACATCGTCCAATCTCCACCTCAATGATCCGCCGGCACGTTACCATACCGGTAAAAAGCACCGCAACTCCGCTGTAAGGCTCAGCCGCAAGAGACCAATAGGAAGGCCCACGCCTCGACTCCCGCTTGGCCAGATGTATGTCAGCCAAGCTGGGCAACCTGGTCTCCTGCAAAAACAAAACATCAGCATCAACACCGCTGAGCAAAAATAAGGCTGACTCTCTAGCACTCACAGACTTTATGCTGGCAACGTTAATAGTTGCCACCTTTATCGGAGCGGGAACTGCCATTAAGACAATTGAGAGTGGCGTTTCTTAACCCTTTTCTTGACCTTTGTTAGAAGGGTCCCCTGACCTCTTGAGAGACCCCCCTACCTCCTCATCCTCCATCGGGGAGACAGGATCCTCAGACACCTCCTCCTCCCCCGACAGAGTCCCAAACATGTTGTTAAGGGCCAAGTCTCCCACCTCTAAAGAGGAGACAGACCCCTAGGTGAGAGGAGCAGCTTGCTGCGCCTCCCCACCACCGTCCACCCCTCCTCCACCTGAACCCCACCCTGCTCACCCTGAACAGGGCCCTGGGACCCATGAGATTCCCTACTAAGTTTTTCCCTCCTCAACTGGAGAAGGACAGGGGGAGCAGGCATCGATGGCCTAGATTTCCCAACCACCACCCCTGCCCCTCTGGCAGCCTCTGCCAGTTTTTTCCCCTTACTGGGAGGGGGGACAGACTCAACTGAAAGCACTACCAGGACACTAGCTGGGGTGGGCACAACTGGGGAGACTGCAACAGGAGGGATGACGGAGGCAACTCCTAGCTCCACCAAGGCCGCTGCAGAGACCAACTTGGCCTTTCCGCTGCCACCTCCGCCTCCTCGGCATCCATCCTGTCTAGCTCTGCAGCAATCTCTGCCACTGGGAGGTTGCGGAGTGCCTCCGGGCACTGGTTATATGTGTGACCTAAGACCCCACAGAGATTACACCTTACAACATTGCAATCTCTTGCCAAGTGACCGATCTCTTGACAAAGAGAGCATTTTATTACCGGACATGTGGCTGCAAAGTGCCCCTTTGCACCACACCTGTGGCACACACCCGGGGCTGACCAGCATAAAATATGACAATTTTATCCCTCCCTAAGAAGGCAGACGAGGGAATGTGCTGCAGCACATTGCCCTCTACTCTCAAGTGCACGGTTGTTGTCCATCCTCCTGTCCAAATCCCCCTCTCATCAACCACCTTGCTGAGGGCCCCTAGGACGTCCCCAAACCTCCCCATCCATACTACAATGTCTGACGGTGGGATGGACTTATTCCGCAAAAGAATGGTCACTTTTCTAATTACATTTTGCCGCGATATCAGCTTGGGAGACAACCCCACCCACCTGGGACTATGAACATAGGTAGCCTCATAACGTTGCCAGAATAAGTCGAGTTGTTCTGGCCTCACAAACGAAACATCATATTCCCCAGTTCCTATTGGGGCTATAAAAGCAAAAATATTGCTGCCTTGCAGCCCATCTCCAAGACACGATCGATCACTTCCTTTCTACTCAAAGGGGGCCCCTCCCCTGACCATTTCAACTGTACCACATTTCTTCTTACTGCTGAAGTGGGCAGATTACCTGCCCGCACCAGCAACGACCTCACCGGCCCCTGCCCACCTCTTACTGCTGCTGAATAATTCAAAACTGGCTTAACACCTGCAGCAGAAGAGACTGGACCAGTGAGGACAGGGAGGACAGAGGCTGAAACCTGAGGAGCATGACCCTGCACCGTCACAGCAGCTACACCAGCACCCAAAGGGTTGGGACCTACCAGGGCAGTATCCAGGGGGGCGGTACCCTGCAAAGGGGGGCCCGATCGGGAAGGACCCAACATAGCTGCAGATATTATCCCTGGGGCAAGGGGACCCTCCATGGGGGAACCCACAGCTTCTGCATTAACACTCTGAGGGGCGGGACCAGCAGATACAGTATCCAATGGGGCGGGGTCCAAGGGGTCTGCGCCCGAGGGAGCGGGACCTTGAGAGGAGGGAAACAATAAAGGGGAACTTTGCCCAGCCACTAAAGCACTACCCAGGGGACCCGGACTGCCAGAGACAACACTCCGGTGGGGACCCTGGGAAGGGGGGCCCGGTGGGGCGGGACCCACCACCTCCGCAACAATACTTCCCCCGGGGGCAGGGCCTAGCAGGACCAAAACCGTACTGACAGGGGGGAGGACCGAGGCACCCTTCTCTTGCTCCACAGCGGAGCTCTGCACAACAGGCACACCTGCTTGTAAACCTGGGTCCATCATGCCCTCACTCTCCGGCAGTACATTACCCACTGATGTCACTGGGATCCGCTGCCTGTCCTTCTCAGCCGCGGGCTCTCCCGCCCTCTCCATCAGGCTACTCTCTAGGGAGCTGGGGATCCGCTGGAGTTTGACGTACACGGCCCTCTCTCTGACAGTTGGCTTCGCCGGCTTTGGCGTCTTCTCCACCTCCGTGTCAGAATCTAACGAGAACCGGAAGTGGTCTGGACGGAGTGCCTGCTCCACCTCCGGCATGAAGCTCAATCCACCAGCTGCCTCCCTCTTCCTCCACTTGGGTGCCCCAATCCGCTCCTTGCTGTCCCAGGGGGATGGAGCCCGAACTTCCGGATTCCTCGGTGTCCTTCATAACTGCTGGCGCCATTTCCAAATTTGGTGCCGCGGGCTCAACCAGCCCCTACATTGGCTCACCTCTCATCACCGGCTCTTGCAATAGTTCCTCCATGGAAGAGGCTTCACCCACGGGGCCTCTCGCCGCCGCCACGCACCTGCTCCTTGCCGCTCTGAAGTGGCTGTCATTCCCAAACTTTTCCTTTAGTACACCGCTGTTTTTTTTGAGGGCTGCCATATACTTTGTCTGTTGCGAGACCTTCTGCTCCAGGGCCTCCAGACCCGGCTTCATAGATTGCCGTTTGGTGCTCCAGACTCTGTCATAACTTGAGCAGAGTTTTTTAAGCTCCATGCTTAACTTGGTCAGCTTAGCTTCTTCCTCCTCAACGGTCTTCACTCACACCACCATACAGTCTCTATATTTTCCCATAGCTCTCCCCCATCTTTGGGGCTGTTCCCAGGTCCTCAATGGTGGAGAGATTGGGACCGATACTATGCCCCTCAGGGGGCCTTCCTCCTGCAGGGCCAGGCCCAGGAGCAGACATCCTCCCTGGGCTGGCTGGGACAATCAACCCCCTGGCTTTTCAGGCCTTCCTGGAACTCAGCAGAGCTCTCCAACTTGCAACCCACACCCATCAGGAATGGACTCGCCACTGGTGGTGGGGACTCACCTGCCTTGTGGGCTACAGTACCAGTGCTGGTCAGCAGGTGCTCTCAGCAGCCAGAATCTCACTCCTGCAGTCAAGCCATCACCTGAGGCTGATTGCAGGAGGTGTATTTAAGCAATGACCAGGCCTGCAATCAGTGCCTTGGTGTATTGCTCCCATGAGCCCCTGTGCCTGAACCTGATCCTGTCATCTGCTTGCCTTCCTGATCCCTCTGCCTGACTCCTGACATTGATAGAACTCTGCCTGCACTGACCTCGGCTAATCCTGACCACTCTCCTGCCTGCTCCTCTGGTACCTTGTCTGCCTGATTGTTCCTGACCCGGCCCGTCTGACTACGCTCTGCCTACTCCTTGTACCTTGTCTGCCCGATGGTTCCTGACCCAGCCTGCCTGACCACTCCACCTCACCAGCCCTGACTACTCTTGTCTGTGTGCTTGTACTTTCTGTTATCATTTGGAGGTTTGGTTTTGTTTGTATTGTGCGTTTATAGTTTTGTATAGCCTCTAATAAATTATATTGTTTTACACCATACTTGAAGCCTGCATTTCCCTGTGTCAGTCCACACATCTCTGGTCATACCTGGAGCCCTGACATAACACCAAGGCCAGTTCTGACCAGAAGTGGCTGCACAGGGAAGCCATCTTGGCTTGTTGTTGTGAAGGATGCATCCTAAGGAGGTTGTGTACTTGTATCTGCTATTCTTAGATGACAGAGAATATGCTTATCAGACTCTGAAGGAGTATTCCAGGGATTAGCTGCTAGAATGCATGCGGGTTGCTCATTCCCTAGTAGATCAGGGCACAGAGTTTTCTGAGGTGCAACCATTGATCCAGGTTTGTGCTGAGTTGGCTCTGTCCAGTACCCCTGAAAGCAGAGATGACTTTTTGCCGCCATTTAGTGCAGACCAAGTAGAGTCACTGGTATGGTTATTGGAAGATGATCCGGATTGCTTCTTGGAGCGTTATTCAGCATGTTCACAACATGTGCTAGTGGATTGTATAAATGCAGTGCAGTCTTTGGTCAGACAGGCTTTGTGTAAGCTGAGCTTTGTTCAACCGGTATTACAGACACGGTCAGATTTGTTACACCCAGCCTCAGTCAGCTTGCAACAACCCAGTCCTACTTCTAATCATTCCTCTGCTCCAAGCTCTATTCCTGCATTCCCCACAGCACCCCCAGTTACAGCCCAGTATACTCTGGTAACTACCACATACCAGTCCCCTGCTCCCACTCGCTGCACCTATCCTGCCTTTAACTCTGTAAAGAAGTCCTCTGTAGCAACTGCTCCCTCCTCTGTTCCATCCTCCAGCTCTTCCCTGTCTTCAGCTGCTCCATCCGTTTACAGACCTGCATTTACTTGCAGTGCTTCACTAACTAAACCCAAGAAGAAGCGAAAATTCTTTCCAACCAGTACCATCCTGCCAGTATCCAAACCAGTCAGCCGGCTGTCTGAGAAACCACCTTCTGTTACCCAGCCTGATGACCCGATCCAGCCTGATGACCCGGTGTCCATGGTCCAGCTTGGCGCCCCGGTGCCCGCTGCCGTGCCAGATGACTTGGTGCCCGCTGTCGAGCTTTGTGACCTGGTGCCCGCTGTCGTGCCAGATGACTCGGTGCCCGCTGTCGTGCCAGATGACTCGGTGCCCGCTGTCGTGCCAGATGACTCGGCGCCCGCTGTCGAGCTTGGTGACTCGGTGCCCGCTGTTGTGCCAGATGACTCGGTGCCCGCTGTTGTGCCAGATGACTCGGTGCCCACTGCCCTGCCTGATGTCCCGGTGCCCACTACCCAGCCTGATCTCCTGGTGCCCGCTGCCCAGCCTGACGTGCCTCTGTCCGCTGCCCAGCCTGACGTGCCTCTGTCCGCTGCCCAGCCTGACGTGTCTCTGTCCGCTGCCCAGCCTGATGTGCCAGCTCCGGATGCCCAGCCTGCTTCTGGAAATCCTGTGTCCAGCAACCTGCCTTCCTGCGGCCTCCTGCAAAAAGATAGGCCTATCAGCAGGAGACTCAGCCAGTCGCTTGATTCCGGCAGTGGGATGTCCAGCCAGTTACTGGACCCAGGCGGTGGAACATTTGTGCCAGTACGGACTGTTTGTAGCATCCTGAGGCCGCTCCTTGAGTGGGGGGTTCTGTCAGGAATGGACATTTTTATTTAAAATATCTTGCAATCCAAAACATTATATACAAAAGTAAAAAAATCAGCAAAATATGTACATTGTAATGAAACAAAAAATAAACCTATGCCGGGTTGTCACATAAAGAGTCCTTCATGGGCCTTAGAGGCCAAAATGTCCATCAAAATTTTCCTGAAAATATGATAGGCCAACTGGCCAAAAACGGGAAATCATCATCCACATGACAACACTCTACAACATGCCTACATACTACCTACAACAATACACACAATGTCACAAAACTCGTAAGGCTAAGAAACATAGCCCTTCAGATGCCTATAAACCTTTTTCAAAACTTCTTCCAGAAAAAACTAAGGGAGTGAAAAACACAGAAAGAAACAAGGACAGCTTCCGCACCCAAAGATCAACAGGTCACAAGCCCAGGCCTGATGTTCCTCCACGCCTCCATCCAGGCCTTACGCCGCAACCTGTCTTTCTCAAGAACCCAAACTTTCCCAACCTCACCAAGAATGTCATGCACCACCACCATGACAGGGAGGACTTTCTGCCGAAGGGAAACCTGACACCGTGCATTCCAGGTTAAATAACGGACCACTAAACAGACTAGAAAAAGAGTGCTCAAATCATAACCCGCACGTATTTCGAAAGCCCCATATACCCACTCCGCATAAGTCATGCGGTGCAGAAAAGGGATGTCAAGAGCCCTCCCCACCTGTTTGCACAACTCTATATTAAAGGGGCACCGAAGCAAGAAATGGTCCATAGACTCCACCTCACCCCCACACTCCACTCTCGGACAACCACGGTCATCCACGGAGCGGTACTTCAGGTTCCCCCTCACATATAGTCTGCCATGAAACGTGAGCCAGGCCTGGTCCCTAAACTTCAAGGGAATCCTTTCCATGTTTATCAACTTTAAGCCCTCCCGCAGACTATGGCCAGGGCAATCCTTCAAGGCCAGCGGTGTATGGAAGGCAGTGGCCACAACCCTCTCCCTGAGAGACTTCCCAGGAAGTGATCTGACCTCCTCCGCCGTCACACACCACCGCTGCAAAATTTTCAAGCTCGGGGCGACATAAGCCGGGAGCTTACCGTGCTTGACTCTCAGGCTTCTCACTGGCCCGCCACTCTCCCAGCTGCCAAGAAAGGGTCTAAATCACATCTGAAAAAAACCTACCCATCCAGGCGGCTCCTCACTCAGCATTTTACCAAAGTTATGTTTCAGGAATATCACGGAGAAGAAAACCACCGGGTTGACCATTCCTAAGCCACCCTCCCGCCTGGAAAGGTAGGTAACATTCCGCTTCACGAGGTTCAGCCTGTTCCCCCACAACAGCTGGAAGAAACAGCTGTAGACCCTCGTGTAGACAGATTCTGGCAAGAGGCAGACATAGCTAACATACAAAAAGACTGGAATCAGATAGGTCTTTATCAAATCGACCCTTTCCCTCAAGGAGAGCCGCCACCCCTTCCAGCACTTCACCTTGACCTCAGCATCTAACAGTCTGGACTCCCAATTTTTTTGGCTTTGGCGTAATCGCCAGGGTCAAATGTAATGCCTAGCACTTTGATCTTAGACTGGGGCTCTGGGAAGGTATCCGAGAGTGAGAAGTTCTCACCCTCCCCACCCATCCAGAAAACTTCGCACTTGTCATGGTTAATCTTGGAATCCGACGCCTCCGCATACTGCCCCATCTCCGCGACCACCACCTCCGCCTCTTCTGCCCCGGAGATGAACACAGAAACATCATCAGCATAGGCTACAACCCTCAAAGGTGACTCGCCAGTTGTGCCCACCGACACCCCCCGCCATCTAGCCTTCTGACGAAGGGGTGGATGGCAAATGCGTAAAGCAAAGGGCTCAGCGGACAACCCTGACGCACCCCCGAGCCAACCCTGAAAGGCTGCCCAACCCAACCAGCCAATAAACCTCCCTTCCAGACCATAACGGTCGAGGAGACGCCAGAGGTACTCATGATCTACCCAATCAAAGGCCTTGGCCTGATCCAGTGTCAGCAAATACCTCCCACTACCATCAACCCTACAGCGCTCCAGGACCTCCCGGACAGCTAACACCGCTGAGAATGTACTTCTGCCCTGAACCGAACAGTTCTGATGCCGGGAAAGCAACCCGTCTGCCACTGACGACAAACGCCAGAAAAGACTCTTGGCCAGAATCTTCCTATCGACGTTGAGAAGGCTAATGGGACGCCAGTTCTCAATAGTCGAAGGGTTCTTCCCTTTTGACAGGAGTATTACCGCCGAGACTCTCATAAAGGGAGGGAGCGAACCCTCATCAAGACAGCTGTTAAACACCTCCACAAGACAAGGTGCCAAGCAAGATTTAAAGGTTTTAAAAAACTCGGCTGTCAAGCCGTCTGGCCCAGGAGTTTTTCTTAATAGCCAGACTGTCAATGGCTTTGGTCACCTCTTCACCAGTAATTTCCCCTGTCAAACTCGTTAGCAGAACATTATTTGCCAGACCTGGAGTAGATTCCTGGAAGCTCGACATCTTAGCCTGGTCGAGGTGCTTCTCCCCTAAAAGATCCACAAAGAAAGCCCTCGAGACCTCCAGGATCCCTGCCCTGGACTTTGTCAGGGAACCTGTACTGTCCTCCAGACCAGTGATCGTCTTAACCGCTACACCTTGCTTGCAGTTCTCTGTTAGCACTTGCCAGTAAATTGCAAGTACTAGTGCCACGCTACCTTTTGGTGAACTGGCGAGTACCAGCGCTCTAGTACATCCTGGTCTTTCACATACCTCCTTGATTTTTGGAGCTGTTTTTCACAGAATATCTGTATGCGTTGACTGTGGATCAAAGCAATTTATATGCACAACAATGTATCGCCGCCAACCCAAATTCAAACCTTGCCAGACCATTCGCATGGAAACCCATTACGGTTTTCATATTTAAATATTTTTGGGCCTAACCCTCAACATGGGCATTAAAAAAAAAAAATGAATTGCGGTTGTATTAGTCCACAGAACCGATTCATCATATGCCCGTGTTCTCTGCTGCCATGACCAGGCATAGATATGAGAGTATAATGTGTTCTATGCATTTCAATGACAATACCCTGAATTTGATCAGCTCCACAAAATTCAGCCCCTCGCAAATCACCTTAACCAAAAGGTTTACGAGGGAAAAGATGGAGCCCCCCGCATGCCCAGACTACATGGAGAGCAGTGACAAGATAGTTTGGGACTTGGTGTCATCATTTCTCCATACGGGGTACCACTTATACAAGCATTTCATCACTTCAGTTTCGCAGGATATAAACAGCGCCATTTGTAAATTGGGAAAGCATCTGATCACCGATTTTGGTTTGATTAGATAATGTAAGGGCAGAGGAGATATCCAGAGTCTGATAGACCCCAGATTTCACAAAAAAGAATATGACAATGCCCATTGAAGTTATAGGGGATATTTGCATTCCCTCTGATAGCATTAAAAGTGATTACAAAAATAATAAAAGGTACAATGTAAAAATAATAAAAAAAAAATCAAAATAGCTAAAAAAAAAAAAAATTGCCCCTCCCATGCGCGCACACCTGTGTGCACAAGCCTTGACCCTGTGCCATTATGTAAGCAGCGGTTGCACCATGCATGTGAGGTATTGCCGTGAACGTCAGATCCAGGGGAGTAATTCTAACACCAGACCTCCTCTGTAAATCTAAAATGGTGGCTTTTAAAGGCTTTTAAAGCGTTGCCTATGGATATTAAAAATGTTTGCAGTTTGTTGCCATTGAACGGGGCATGCGTAGTTTTAAAGCATGTCATGTTTGGTATCTATTTACTCGGCATACCATTATCTTTTATATTTTACCAAACAATTGGCCAATATATTGTGTTTTTGTGCATTAAAAGTAAAAAAAAAAGTGTATTTTTTTTTTTAAAAATTGCTTTTGAAAAATCGCTGCGCGAGTACTATGTGCCATAAAAAATTGTAGTACCCACCATTTTATTCACTAGGGTGTCTGCTTTAAAAAAATATATAATGTTTGGGGGTTTAAATTAATTTCCTAGCAAAAAATACAGATTTTTTCATGTGAACAAAAAGTGTCAGAAAAGGCTTGGTCTTCAGGTGGTTAGAAGAGTGAATGATGTGTGGCATAAACTTCTAATGCTGGGCATAAAATGCCCCCACCCCCAAAAATGACCCCTTTTTGGAAAGTAGTCACCCCAAACTATTTGCTGATAGGCACGTTGAATCAATAGAAGAATTTATTTTTTTACCACAAGTTTTTGGAAAATAACAAAAATAAATATATATTTTTTTTTTTTTACACAAAATTGTCACTTAAATGATTTACTGCTCACACAAGCCATGGGTATATGTGGAATTACTCCCCAAAATACATTCTGCTACTTCTCCCGAGTATGGGGGTACCACATGTAAGAGACGTTTTGGCAGTCTAGCCAAGTACAGGACCCCAAAATCCAATAAGCACCTTCAGGCTTTTAAAGGGCTTTATTTCCTCATTACACTTCCTGACTACCTATCACAGTTTCGAAGGCCCTGAAATGCCAGGATAGCACCTAACCCCCTCAAATGACCCCTTTT